CCTAAACAGTTGACAACCTTTTATAATAATAATAATAATAATAATAATAATAATAATAATAAATAATTTATTATTTATACCCTGCCCATCTGGCTGGGCCTCCCCAGCCACTCTGGGCGGCTTCCATAGAAACCAAAAATACACTAAAATATCACACGTTAAAAACTTCCCTGAACAGGGCTGCCTTAAGATGTCTTCTGAATGTCAGGTAGTTGTTTATCGCTTTGACATCTGCTGGAAGGGCGTTCCACAGGGCGGGTGCCACTACCGAGAAGGCCCTCTGCCTGGTTCCCTGTAGCTTTGCTTCTCTCAATGAGGGAACCGCTAGAAGGGCCTCGGCGCTGGACCTCAGCGTCTGGGCAGAACGATGGGGATGGAGACGCTCCTTCAGGTATACTGGACCAAGGCTGCTTAGGGCTTTAAAGGTCAGCACCAACACTTTGAATTGTGCTCGGAAACGTACTGGGAGCCAATGTAGGTCTTTTAAACTGGCTCTTCTCCCCTGGCGCAAACCAAAGAAATTGTGGAGTTTTTTCCTGACCTGCAGATGCAGCAATGAGAAAACTTTCACCAGTTTAATTTCTGTTTGCTGCATTGTTATTTTTATTTCTCTTCCTGCCCCCATGAATGCACTAATAACAGGTGTCTGGCTGCAACTCGACAAATGAACATACTTTTGTCTCTGCTGTTAAAAGGCAAGAAACGGGATCCAGCATGTTCTCTGTGGTGTCACCCCTCTTGGCTGCCAGTTTCGTATACTGAGAGGGCAGCCCCCTTGGACTTCAGAAGGCAAATGGTGTTGGTTTACGCCGGCAGAGAAGGTCAGGGAGAGGTGAAACAAGGCCACTTGGCTTTACTGGGCATTTCCTGGTCCAGGCGTCATCATTTAGGAAAGATTACCAGCCTGAGCTCCAACCTACGTGTGACATTATTCAAGCATGCTTCATCTGACATCTGCTGTTATTTTGGAAAAACAACAACACGCTTGCAAGGCCCTGCTCCAAAATGTGTGCTCCCAGTTCTGCTGCTTTATTTATTTATAATTACAGTTATGGGGTGCTAGAGGAGGGGGAGGGCTAGGGGGAGACGCCATGCTCCTTCTGGGGTAGTTTGGCCACTTTTGGTCTCTACCCAAAAGCCACTGTGGTGTAGTGGTTAAGAGCGGTAGTCTCGTAATCTGGTGAACCGGGTTCGCGTCTCCGCTCCTCCACATGCAGCTGCTGGGTGACCTTGGGCCAGTCACACTTCTCTGAAGTCTCTCAGCCTCACTCACCTCACAGAGTGTTTGCTGTGGGGGAGGAAGGGAAAGGAGAATGTTAGCCGCTTTGAGACTCCTTAGGGTAGTGATAAAGCGGGATATCAAATCCAAACTCTGCTTCTTCTACCCAGCACTCAGCTCTCAGCTGTAGCTCCTAGAAGCCATAAGCATTAGACTTCCCCTAGATGAGACTCATCAACCTGGGAAGGGAGCCCACCTAGAAGAAGGAAAACTCTGCTCCTAAACCTCCACTGCTTCGTGGCATATTTTCGGAAGAATAAAAAGCTAAGCAGTAAACCGTACACAAATCCAGAGTGGAGTCTCTAAGGCAGTTGGGTGGCACCTTCTGCTCTTCCGGCAACTCCTGCAGCCAAGCATGGTGTCACAACAACATTGCAAGGTTGGTTAGGCTGAGAGATTTCAACTTGCACTCAGTGGGCTTTATGGCTGAATGGGAAATTTGAACCTTGGCCTTCCAGGCCTTTAGTCTGACACTGGCTGCAACTATCTGCTCACTCCTGGCTGCTTCCTAGTGGGATGGTGAGAAATGGCAGCCAGGTAAGGGGGTACAGTGGTACCTCGGGTTAAGAACTTAACCTGAAACTGTTCTTAACCTGAAGCACCACTTTAGCTAATGGGGTCTCCCGCTGCCGCTGCTGTGCGATTTCTGTTCTCATCCTGAAGCAAAGTCCAAGGTACTATTTCTGGGTTAGTGGAGTCTGTAACCTGAAGCGTCTGTAACCCGAGGTACCACTGAACAGTGGTACCTCTAGTTACGAACTTAATTCGTTCCAGAGGTCCATTCTTAACCGGAAACTGTTCTTAATTAGAGGCATGCTTTTGCTAATGGGGCCTCTTGCTGCCGCCGGGCCGCCGGCACATGATTTCCATTCTCATCCTGGGGCAAAGTTCTCAACTCGAGGTAACTCTTCAAGGTTAGCGGAGTTTGTAACCTGAGGCGTTTGCAACCTGAGGCGTTTTTAACTTGAAGTACCACTGTAGTTTTCAGCAGATGACTAGTGCAGGCCCCCAGTCTGGATCAGGAGTGCATTCTGGATTGGGGCCCTGTGAATGGGTTTCTCCCAGCACTTCAAAATAAAAACAGGCAGGTTAAGCACGTTTGTTTATAAAGCCCATGAAAAAGGTTAGCTGTAGTTTTTCTCTTAAATATGATCAGCCTGGAAGCAAAATGTCAAAATTTACTGAGGGTCCTTTCTTTTAAGTGAAACACCCCTGAGATAAGAGGCAAAAATAAAAATGGTGCAGCCCTGGAATCTGAACAAACTGCTTCTTAATACAACCGAGTCTAGGAAAGATGTTGTTTTTAACCTAAGAGTGGGAAAGTACAGACTGAGATACACGATGGTAATCAAAGTTCAAATTATGGTCCTTGAGGGTGGCTGTGTTTTTCCACTTGAGAGTCATGTCCCTAGTCTTAATAGACACTGCAGTCTAAAGAAAAATGTTAGAGCTGAAGCAGCCTGTGATGTGCATTTAACAGGAAAACAGATACAGAGGGTGTTAAAGAGAAACACTCTGTTTCCCATGAAACCATCCATCCCATTTTCCCCCAAGTGTCTACCACTGCCACACAAAACCAGCACTTTCCTTAAAAAATAAGAAGGCGGAGTACAGCACATAGGGGATAAGATCAACAAAAGAGTCAGAAAAACACTAGCTGTTATTCTGGCATTGTAGGGGGTTGGACTAGATGACCCTTGGGGTCCCATCCAACTCTACAATTCTATGATTCATTCATTTAAAACATAAATAAATACTGTCTGGTTGTAAGAGGGAGGACAGCAGAAATCATGTTGTAAAGGCCTGTCTCAACAACAAAAGTTTTCTGAAGGAAGGGAGGGATGTTTCCTGTTGAGTATCTACTGGCAGGGAGTTCCACAGGGCAGGGTCTGCCACTCTTAAGCCTCTGTCCTGACTTGAAGGCCAGCCAAACCTCAGGGGCACGGAGAACTCAATAATGAAGTGCCCGGATAATGTTCATCCATTACAATAGTCACATATCACTTGACTTAGCTGGCACACTGAGCAGGAGATTTCTGAGATTCCCGCATCACAGGGGGTTGGACTAGATGACCTTCGTGGTCCCTTCCCACTCTGCAGTTTTGGCTGGGTGGCTTTGGGTCAGTTACTGTCTCTTAGCTTAACCTATGTCACAGCACTGTTTATGAGGATATAACGTGGAGGTGAAAAATCCACGTACCCCGTCTTGAAGGAAAGATGGGATATACATCATGCGAAAGGCTGGGCTGGATGAATCCTAAACTGGAATTAAGATTGCCGGAAGAAATATCAACAACCTCAGATATGCAGATGACACAACCTTGATGGCAGAAAGTGAGGAGGAATTAAAGAACCTTTTAATGAGGGTGAAAGAGGAGAGCGTAAAATATGGTCTGAAGCTCAACATCAAAAAAACGAAGATCATGGCCACTGGTCCCATCACCTCCTGGCAAATAGAAGGGGAAGAAATGGAGGCAGTGAGAGATTTTACTTTCTTGGGCTCCATGATCACTGCAGATGGTGACAGCAGCCACGGAATTAAAAGACGCCTGCTTCTTGGGAGAAGGGCAATGACAGGCCTAGACAGCATCTTGAGAAGTAGAGACGTCACCTTGCCAACAAAGGTCCGTATAGTTAAAGCCATGGTTTTCCCAGTAGTGATGTATGGAAGTGAGAGCTGGACCATAAAGAAGGCTGATCGCCGAAGAATTGATGCTTTTGAATTATGGTGCTGGAGAAGACTCTTGAGAGTCCCATGGACTGCAAGAAGATCAAACCTCTCCATTCTTAAGGAAATCAGCCCTGAGTGCTCACTGGAAGGACAGATTGTGAAGCTGAGGCTCCAGTACTTTGGCCACCTTATGAGAAGACTCCCTGGAGAAGACACTGATGCTGGGAAAGATGGAGGGCACAAGGAGAAGGGGGCGACAGAGGACGAGATGGTTGGATAGTGTTTTCGAGGTTACCAGCATGATTTTGACCAAACTGCGGGAAGTAGTGCAGGACAGAGATGCCTGGCGTGCTCTGGTCCATGGGGTCACGAAGAGTCGGACACGACTAAACAACAACAACAACAAGCAAAGGGGTGGAGCAGAGAAGGAAGAGGCCATCTTCCCCTAATGCTTCATATGCTTAGGTATGCTATTTTGGACAAGCACTCTGCATTTGCTCAGAGGTGCTTTTTCACACCTGTTCAAATTATGTCCTGGAGATGCAGATTCTTGCTTCTGCAACACCCTTCAGAGAGTTGAGAAGCAAACATTGCAGCCCCCTAACACACACAAAACCAACCCTAACTTTGGCCATAAACTTTCCAGGTGGTCTTCTATATAGATCCTTATTCTCTTTCTTCTGTCCCACACCTGCCCTTCTCCCTAAAAATAACCACGCACCCCAACTGCAAAATTAGAAACTGAACTCATAGCTCCAACGGGAAACTTTTGGAGCTCCGGGTGTCACTTATGGAGCTCCGGGTGTCACTCCGGGTTTCCGTGTAAACGGGGCGGGGGGCGCGCGAAACCGGATCCTCCCCTCCCTCGGCTTCTTGAAAGTTCCACTCCAGCGCCGAGACAGCTGGAGCCCGGCGCCGCCCCTTCCCTCTTTGACAGACAAGCCGAGCCAGGCCCGGATTGGACGGATTCGAAGCCAAGTCGAGAAGCTTCTGCAAAGTGTCAGCGCCCTTAAACGGGGTGGGGAAGAGAAAAATGCACTAGCGCGCGCAATAAGAGGGGCGGGGAGGGCGGTCTGCATATAAAGCCTGGGAGTAGCAGGCGGGCGCGCGCGTGCCGACGCTCTCCAGTTGTTTGCAGCTGCGGCGCACTTTCAATATAGATAGCAATTTTTCCATTTGTTATTTCCAGTTGCTGTCAGAAGAAAAGGGGCTGCATCTTGCATAAGGTATATATGGCTGTATTGCAGCTTGTTTATGTGCATGCATAGGTGGGAGCAGAAGTTTGGCGTCTCAACAACTGCGCACTTTTCCCGCGTTTGCAGCCAGGCGTCTGGGGCGGGCTCCCTCGGATTCCAGTAAGGATCGCGGGGGATCCTCGCAGGAGGGATCCCCAGGCGCGGGTCGTTCCTGTGGATAGCACCGCGCGAAAGCGAAGAGGCTGCGTGTATTCGGGCTACTGCAGCTTCGTTGTGGAGCGGATGGTTTAATCTCCAGTGCAAGAGTGCCCCTGAGCATAGTGCAGAGTGGCTTTGCTGCCCCGCGGCGTAAAACACGGGTTCGGTTCTAGGGCTTGACCTGAGCTTCGCCGTTTGTTGCGTTTGGAAACGAGTCGCTGGAATTTGGGGTCCAGCCAGCACCCTAAATTGGGGAGGGGCGACGAACGCATCTTTCGCCACTTTTTTGTGTGCGCTAATTTGGAATGGGCTGCGGAAGTTACGATCCTGATTGCCTTTTTCTTATGGCCTTTGCAGACGCTTTATTTACAGGATCCTTGCCGTGTTTCCAACTCAGAACTTGCTCTCATTGATCATTCTGCAAAGCTTGATTCCTTGCAAACGCAGCTCGGGTCTCATTTCTATCATGTTCCTAAACGCAATCCTATACCGTATATGCAGTTTTAATTTAGGAGTGGCCGCTGTTGAAGGCTCGCTTCAGATGCGTAGGACCGGCTTGTGCGATTGCAAATCCTCTTAGGATCGCGCAGTTACGTTTTCTGGGACTTAATGCAAGCAGGCGTGCCTGGAATTTAGGATTTATAGCTAATTCAGTGCAAAGTAGCGCTGAGCCCGGACGCCTGGGTTCTGCTTTCGTTGGCGAGTACCAGAACGCCATCGTTGGATGTTGAGGCATTCAGTTTGGAGCAACTTAAATACCGTAGGTGGATATTTGCCATCTCTAAATATAAGCGCCCACTATATAGCTTTACCGTGGAAAATTACAGGCAGACAACACCCGTTACTCGCAGTTCTCTGGGCAGCTTCCATTGAACTGGCTGGTGACTATTTTGCAAGGTTTAACTCCTTGCGTCTTCTGGTGGTATTGCTACTAATAACAATAACTAACAACCCACCATCCCAGATTCCATTAGGGTGGTTTGGAATCTTTAAAATAAAGTATGGATTGATTCATATCTTTTTCTGTCTAATTGGTTCTGGCTGGTAGCAATTCTTCAAAAGAGCACTGGACTGTGTTGTTTCCCTCCCAAAGAGTAATTAGGAGTTTAAAATAGATGTGTGCTTCTGAATAACATCTGCCTGCAGACAGCTGTACATCTTAGATTGCCCTGGAAGTACATTCTTACAATTCACGTTAGAACTGAGGCGGAATTTAAAAAAAAAAAAAAAGTTGCCAACTGATGGCCGGGAGAGCTGCTCCTGTTCATTTAAAGGCAACAGGATTCAGTTAGGTGAAGTTTCCTGCAACAAGTGCAATCAGTATTTTGAATACTTGCATATGACAGCTTCATTTGCAAAGGGCAATATCCAACTTACTGCATAGTGCGAACAATGCCTACTCAGCAGTAAGCCCTATTGATTTCAATGGAGTTTACTCCCAGGTAAACAGGGTTTAAGGTTTGCTACCAGGTTGCTTAAGCCCATTGATTTCAGTGTATGCAGTGGCGTAGCGTGGGTTGTCAGCACCCAGGGCAAGGCAAGTAATTTGTGCCCCCTAACCCGTGGATTTGTGCCCCCTAACCCGTGGATTTGCCCTAACTCCAGATGTTGCGGCCGACCCCCCCTGCACCCCCCACGCTACGCCACTGAGTGTATGATTAAAGCTGGCTAATGCTTAGATGGTAGCTTAATTTGGGTGAATTCAGAGTGCATGACAAGCGCACTTAAAACCTCTTGGAAGGGACTTGAAAGGGGTGGAGTGTTTGGTTTCCTCAGGTGCCTGTCTGACTTTGCCTTCTTTGGGGTTGCCACGGGTGGGTGGGGCGTAGAGCCGGGTGGGGCATAGCTCCCCCCTCCCCACAAAAAATAAGAATGGAGCCAATGGAAACTGGCTGCCCAGGAGGTGTGAACACGCGCCTTTTTTTTCTGGAAGGGAAATGGGAGTTTCCAATTAAATGTGTTTAGAGTAGTTTTTCCTCTACTCTTCTGGGGATATTCCTAGGCTTGGCTGGGTGCCCAGAAGACTGCATCTGCAAACATTGGCTGTTCATGTGTCCTAACTACTGCTTTGGAACGATCTGCACTTGGAATAAAGCAAGGGGACACATTTCTGTGCCTCAAGATCATAAAAGCATAGGTTTCTGGTGTTCAAAAGAAGCGTCAGATGGTGGGACGTAGGTGTGTGCCTCCTTCGACCTGGCAGAAATATTTTATGTAAAATAACATAGGGCCTTGTTTCAGGAGCTTAGCATATACAGCAAGAGGTTGTTGTCCCGTGTGCATGTCCCATTCAGTACTGATTTTTAAGAGCTGTAGGTCAGGGGACAGAGCATCTGCTTCTTGTGCAGAAGGCCCTGGGTTCAATTTCTGGCACCTCCAGGTAGGACTTGGAAAGACTCCCATTTTGAAACCCTGGAGAGGTGCTGCCAGCCAGTGTAGACAGATTGGCACTCGATGGTCAGGAGAAAGGCAGCATCTTGTGTTCCTCTGGAGAGTGATTTGCTTGAGATTACCGGGTCACCTTGTAGCTGATTGGAGATTTGAACCTGGATTTCCTCAGGCCTAGCTTCACTCCAAGCCACAAGTATCATGGGACTACAACTCCCATCAGCTCCGAGGAAGATGGGAGTTGTAGTCCTGCTGCATCCGGGGGGCCACAGGTTCCCCATCCTTTCCCTAAACGCTGCCTGCCACCTGTGGTTCTGAGGCACAAATACTAGCATAAAAGGACACACACACACACACCCTAAAAGAAAACCCAGATGTCTGGAGGCGGATGAGACTTAAATGAGAGGAACACACTCTTAACTATGCCCAGAGGCACTCCACGTTGTTCCCTAAACTGGGAATTGCTTCAAAATAGATTGGAGGACTCTGCTGAAACCCTGACACTTTGCCTCTCTAGGTATTTAGGATCTGGGGGGGGGGGGGATGGAAAAGTTAGCAGCATAGCTGTCAACGTTTCCCTTTATTAAAGGGAAATTCCCGTATTCCAACTAGGATTCCTCACAAGAAAAGGGAAAAGTTGACAGCTATGGTTAGCACTCCGGGGGTTGGTTTTGGTTTTTTTAAAACAGCTCCAGGAAAGGAAGGGGAGTCTAATGGGGGTGTTTTTTTCCCCAGAGGGTGGTCCTGGAAGCAGAGGCTTTCTTGGGGAGCGAGAAGGACGGATGGTTTCTGAGCTCCTTCGCCTGTTGCGGTTTCTTGGCTTGGCTCACTGCAGCCGTCTTCTTCTGCTCCGCAGTCTCGGAGCCCTCCCTGTAGCAGAGTTCTCGAAAAATCTTTACAGGCTAAGGAGGGAGAGCGTGCAGCATGGCACGAGACTCTTGCAAAGTCCAGCCGCCCAGCCCCAAACGGCTGTCTCCACCCCCAACCCACCCCACCCCGCCTTTACGACCTGGGGCAGAGTTGACCACTGGTGTGTGTAGTTTTTTTTATAGAATCTGATCTTGAGCAACAGCTGTGCCCTTCAGACTGCCAGCAGCCCTGCCAAGCATGCCCTGAAGCCGAGAATAGGACCCAGTACTCTTTGGCTTAACTACTGCCCGTTATTGGACCCCCCACACCATGACTTCTGAACTGCAGGGCTTAATCTGAAAGCAGATCCTTCTTGGCTGCAACCAAGTCCCAATGTTTCTTACCTAACCCTCCAGTATGAGCTGCTAGGAGTGGTGCTTGGAGGGGGGGGGAGCACCTCAGATCTCCTGCTATGTTTTTCGTTTGCAGCTGAGATTGCTTCTCCCTACTGCTCTTTGTAACCACGTGCCATCTTCGCTCTCTCTGTTTAGAAGCCAGCTTGTCTGGAAGTTGGTGCTCTTCTACCACTGGGGCTGCGCTGTGCATTGGCAAGCCGGCTGCAGAGTGCCCCTGAGCATGTGCAGAGCACCCTACAAGGTCTAGTCTGCATCTTGGAAGCAGACTTTTTCTTCTTTTTTTCCTTTAGCTCTAAATAGCTTTATCAGTCGGTTGAGCATGAGACTCTTTATCTCAGGGTTGTGGGTTCGGGCCCCATGCTGGGCAAAAGGTTCCAGCATTGCAGGGGGTTAGACTAGATGACCCTTGTGGTCCCTTCCAACTCTTGATTCTCTGAACTAGATCTGCTGCCAGCTTTCTGATTTCCAGCTCACGTGGCTCTGGGGTTCTTCCCATACTGCTTCCAGCATGTGCTGTGCTAGGAGCGGTACAGGAAGAGCCAGTGCTATAACGAACTGTAACCTCGTGAGTTTTTGGTGCGGCGACTTCCCCTTAAGCTCTCATAAGACGCTTGCCACGCAGTGAAGCAATTTCAGTTTCATGAGCATGGCAGTACATAAAGTAATGTTGGTGATGGTCTCATTCTTTTGGGCATGGAAAGTTGCCCGTTACCTTGTTCTTTACCAATAGGGATGCTTTTTGGTATCTTATCCTAAAGATCCACCAGGATACTCGGAGGTTCCTCAGTCTTCCAAGCCGTAGCAATGGATCCAATGCAGTGTGATTTCTCTGGTCTGCATTCTGCAAAAAGCGATCTCGCATCAGACTATTGCTGGGGTTTTAAGCCAGCCCATTAACGCCGATCTCCCTGCGTCATCCTAGTCTCCCTACTTGGGAGCTGAAGGATCCTAATGCTTGGGGGGGGGCAGGGGGAGAGGAGGAAATTCTGGCATAATGACTCCTGCAAGCATGTCTAAGATTCTTGCACGTGAGCAACGGTAGCCGGTTTGCATTGTGGTCCCCTGGAAAGATGTTGTTGGATTATGTCTGGGTTAAATTTTCCCCAGAGCCTTGTCTAGTGCGTTCCCCAAAGCTTCTAGCAGGGCCGCAGCCAATGCAGATGTTTTGCACACATGGCGGGATCTCTGCTCTGACAGATGCTGCTGAACTCCAGTACACTGTTCTGTATGTTTAAGCAATAAATGGGCTGTTGTCTCTTCTTGCATTGATGTCACCGGTGTGTCGCCTTCCCCCTTGCAGCCAAAATGTCCAAGGGTCCAGCTGTCGGCATTGATTTGGGGACCACCTACTCCTGTGTGGGCGTCTTCCAGCATGGCAAGGTGGAGATCATCGCCAACGACCAGGGCAACCGCACCACCCCCAGCTACGTGGCCTTCACGGACACAGAGCGCCTTATCGGCGATGCCGCCAAGAACCAAGTGGCCATGAATCCCACCAACACCGTCTTCGGTAAGAACTGGCCACCCGGCCTTGCCACGCCATCTGGAGGGGTGATAAGCTCCATCTGAGGGCTGAGGGACCCCGCTGCATCCTCCCAGGGAGATCCTTTGGGAGGAAGAGGAGGAGGATAATAAATTTATTACTTATATCCCGCCCATCTGGCCGGGATATAATTCTGGGCGGCTCCCAACAGAATATTAAAAACACAATAAAACATGAAACATTAAAAACTTCCCTAAATGGGGCTGACTTCAGATGCCTTCTAAAAGTCAAATAGTTGTTTATTTCCTTGACATCTGATGGGAGGGCGTTCCACAGGGTGGGCGCCACTACCGAATAGGTCCTCTGCCTGGTTCCCTGTAACTTCACTTTTCGCAGGGAAGGAACTGCAGAAGGCCCTCAGACCTGGACCTCAGTTTCTGGGCTGGACAATGCGGGTGGAGACGCTCTTTCAGGTATACTAGGCCAAGGTCATTTAGGGCTTTAAAGGTCAGCACCAACACTTTGAATTGTGCTCGGAAATGTACTGGGAGCCAGTGTACATTTCAGGACTAATGTTATATGATCTCAGCGGCCACTCCCAGTCACCAGTCTAGCTGCCGCATTGTGGATTAGTTGTAGTTTCCGGGTCACCTTCAAAGGTAGCCCCATGTAGAGCGCATTGCATTAGTCCAAGTGGGAGATAACCAGAGCATGCATCACTTTGGCGAGACAGTCTGCGGGCAGGTAGGGTCTCAGCCTGCGTATCAGATGGAGCCCTGGACACAAATTTGACCTGTGCCGTCATGGACAGCTGTGAGTCCAAAATGACTCCCAGGCTGCGCACCCGGTCCTTCTGCGCATCAGTTACCCCATTAAGGACCAGGGAGTCCTCCACACCAGCTCACCCCCTGTCCCCCCAAAACAGTACTTCTTGTCAGGATTCAACCTCAATCTCATGGATGGCTTTATTCTAGTGCTGGCTGATTTAGAGAACAGCTGACCAGGTGTGTGAACTTGAAAGCACAAATTCCTTATGCAACCTCCCCGGGGGCCGCATTCCAGGGGTAGGGCCGGAGGCAACAGAGATTGAAGCAGCTGATGGCACAGACTTCTTGGTTTGGGGTCCCCTTCCCTCAGGAGTCACGGGCTTTTCTGAAGCAGCCCCTTGAGGGAGGATAGAGGGGTGTGTGTAGAAATTAGCCTCGTTTGCGTAGGTAAAATTTACATTTTTTGCTTTGCCCACTTTTCCCCCTGCTGGCATGGAGCGCCTGGAAGGGGAATGTGGATTAAGTGCATGTGAATAATGGAGCTCTTGACTTACTCATCTCTTAGCTCCCTGAGGGAAGCTGTTATTCCTTGGAAGCTCTCATTACTGTTTCCCTGCCTCTCCTCTTCCCAGATGCCAAGCGACTTATCGGCCGCCGTTTCGATGATCCTGTGGTCCACTCAGACATGAAACACTGGCCCTTCCAGGTCATCAACGACGGGGGTCGTCCCAAGGTGCAGGTGGAGTACAAAGGGGAGACAAAGTCCTTCTACGCCGAGGAGATCTCGTCGATGGTCCTCACCAAGATGAAGGAAATTGCAGAGGCCTACCTGGGCAAGGTGGGTAGCATGAAGGATGTTGGCCCCAGCTGCAGTGAAGGATTATTGCTTATTCCAGTGGGGTGGTTGAACCTTTGGCTTGTGGGCAAATTTGGGCTTGCCAGGGGGTTCCAGTTCATAGAATCACAGAACTGTAGCTTTGGGAAGGGATAATGAGGGTCCTCTAGCCCAACCCCCTGCAATGCAGAAATCTTGGCTAAAGCATCCATGACAGATGGCCATCCAACCTCTGCTTAAAAGGAAGGAGAGTCCCACCACCTCTTGTGGGGGTCTGTTCCCCTGTCAAACAGTTCTTACTGTCAGAAAGTTCTTTCTGATGTTTAGTCAGAATCTCCTTTTTTGTAACTCGAAGCCATTGGTTCGAGTCCTGCCCTCCATAGCTGGAGAAAAGAAGCTTGCAGGTGTCAACAAGTTCACCCGGATGGGCAAGGCCTGCTGGGAATGTGCTAGTGGAGGAAACCCCTGCAGCCAGGAGGACTGAAAACTCCTCTCACCAGCTTGGTCAGTGGAGGGTTCAATCTTCTTAATGCCAGATTATTTTTATAAAGCTTTTTTTTTTAAAAAAAAAAGTAAGTTGAAAAATTTGGAAAAGTAAACTCCGTAATCAGAGTTACGAAACATCAGATCAGTACAGAGGTGGTGTTTTCAAAACAGATGTAGAATAGGTAATATAGAAAAACAACAGCAAAACACATCATGAAAACCAAATTCCATAATGTAGTGCAGTGTTTTTAAACCTTTTTTGGGCAAAGGCACACTTGTTTCATGAAAAAATTCACGCGGCACACCACCATTAGAAAATGTTAAAAAAATTAACTCTGTGCCTATATTGACTATATATAAAGTAATTCTCTTGAATAGGAATCAAATGAACACAAAGAAAGTAGTTTATAATTACTTTATTTGAAATAGTAAGTAAACAGAAATATGAAAAAATATAAAATACTTTATTTTTAAATCTTTCGAATTTTTCAATTTTTCCCACGGCACACCAGGCAACATCTCGCGGCACACTAGTGTGCCGCGGAACAGTGGTTGAAAAACACTGATGTAGTGGGAGAAGAGTGTTTTGTGTATCTGAATTTGAAACGTGATAAATCACCAAAACGGCATGGAAATGTTCAGAATCTTCCTCAGGCATCAGGTGTGTTACCCCGCCGACTGTTAAAGTTGGTCCTAGGGTGGGAGAAATGAAAAGATTTGGCCCACTGTGCTATTGGTGCCAACCGCACTTTGTGGAGCCTTGTAAACAAAAGGATAGATCTCTGCCACAAGGCGCATACAGTCTTAAATTCTAGCTGGAAGGGAATGAATTATAAGTAGAAAGGAGTGAAAGTGAGCAATTGCCTTTTCAAGTACAGTCGTACTTTGGAAGTCGAACGAAATACGTTCCGGAGGTCCGTTCAACTTCCAAAATGTTTGGAAACCAAAGCGCAGCTTCTGATTGGCTGCAGGAAGCTCCTGCAGCCCGTCGCAAGCCCCGTCGGATGTTTGGCTTCCAAAAATAGTTCACAAACTGGAACAGTCACTTCCGGATTTGTGGCATTCGGGAGCCAAAACGTTCAAGAACTAAGCTGTTTGAAAACCAAGGTACGACTGTACTTTGGTTTAGTTATGACTGGGGAGCAGTGGTGACAGGAAGCTCTGGTCTGTATATTAAACCAGCACCAGCAGTTGCTCTCCAGAATTCCAGTACACTGGTTCTGGGTCTTCTTGGCAGTACTCTGCATTGATTCTGGGCCTTTTACATACAAAAAGCTTGGAAAGTGGAGTTGGAGAGGCAAAGGACTATGAGGTAAATTTGAATTCCCCCTTTAATTTCTCTACCTTCCACACAATACCCACCAACAACAACACAATGGGGGCAAGAGCAGTGCTCTAATTCTCATTCTTTCTCCCTTTTTCTGCCACAGACAATTGCCAATGCCGTCATTACAGTCCCGGCCTACTTCAACGACTCCCAGCGACAAGCCACTAAGGACGCTGGCACCATCTCGGGCCTCAACGTCCTCCGCATCATCAACGAGCCCACGGCAGCTGCCATAGCGTATGGCCTGGACAAAAAGGTCAGGAGGGGTTTCATTACCCCCCCCCATGTTGCTAGGTTTGGACTAAGCCCAGGACAGTGAATTGCAGGGAAGAGGACACAACACTTATGTTTCGTGAGCAGGGTTGGGAAGCCTGTGACCCCTTGGTGTTGCTGGACTACAACTCCCACCGTTCTTGGCCCTTGGCCATGCTGGCTGGGGCTGATGGGAGTGGGAGTCCCAACAACAGCTTGGAGGGCCGCAGGTTTCCCTCACTTCTAGGCCAGAAGATCCCAGAAAGTTCTTGGGTCGAGTTCATACCTTTAAAGCACTTTCAATTCCCAAAGGATTCTGGGAATTGTACTTTAAGGGTGCTGACAGGAGACCAACCTATTCCCCTCCCAGAACTACAATTCCCGGTGCACTTTTAATCCCTCTTCCCAAGGAACTCTGGGAGCTCTAACTCTCGGAGAGAGTGTTGGGTCTCTGAAAAACTCTCAGCACCCTTGGTGAACTACAGGTGCCAGAATTATTTGGGGGAAGCCACGACCGTTTAACATGGTATCGGAGTGCTTTACATGTTTGATATGAGCGTGGTCCTAAGGCTATCACGAAACTACAGTTCCCAGCAATCTTTTGAGAGAATCCTGACAATAATCCAAGCTCAGGTCTGCAATTGAGTCCCGTTCTTTGGTTCATGGTTAAGTGGTGGAATTTATGTTTGTGTGTTGAGTTTTGGTTCAAGGCATTGGAATTCCACCCAAAACAGGCCGCGGTTCTTTTTACATATTGCTGGTCCATCCTTCCTGTAGGTTGGCGGCGAGCGCAACGTCCTCATCTTTGACCTGGGCGGCGGCACTTTCGACGTCTCCATCCTGACCATCGAGGACGGCATCTTTGAGGTGAAGTCGACGGCCGGCGACACCCACCTGGGCGGCGAGGACTTCGACAACCGCATGGTGAACCACTTTGTGTCGGAGTTCAAGCGCAAGCACAAGAAGGACATCACGGACAACAAGCGGGCGGTCCGGAGGTTGCGCACCGCCTGCGAGCGGGCCAAGCGCACCCTCAGCTCCTCCACCCAGGCCTCCATCGAGATCGACTCCCTCTATGAGGGCATAGACTTCTACACCTCCATCACCCGGGCCCGCTTCGAGGAGCTGAACGCCGACCTCTTCCGGGGCACCCTGGAACCCGTGGAGAAGGCCCTGCGGGACGCCAAGCTAGATAAGTCTCAGGTGCACGACATTGTGCTGGTTGGTGGCTCCACCCGCATCCCCAAGATCCAGAAGCTCCTGCAGGACTTCTTCAACGGCAGGGAGCTCAATAAGAGCATCAACCCTGATGAAGCAGTGGCCTATGGCGCAGGTAAGAGAGCCTCGCCAGAGGTGGTAGGCCTCAGAATGCCGGTGGCTAGGAAACGAGGGTTGCCACCTGTCCTGTATATAATGCAGGATTTCCCCATGGGACCGAACGGCGGGAGCTCACCCTGCCGCAGGGATTCGAACCACCGACCTTACGATCAGCAAGTCCTAGGCACTGAGGTTTATCCACAGTGCCACCCGCGGATTTCCCCGTACTTGGATGTAAAATGCTACGTCCTGTATTGATACGGTTCTGTCCCGTATTTCAGGTCCTTCTCTCTTGGTGCCAAGTTAGGGATCCTTTCCAAATGCACCTGTTTGAAAGGGTGTGTTAAAGGTTCATGTAGCCCAGACAGATGGACAGATTTTTTTTGTGTGACAAATTCCAGAGGGGGCCACCTGGTTCGGCTGCAGTAGATTTTAATGAATTTCTTTGAAGCTACTGCAGCACCAGATGGGGGTGGGGAATCGCCCCCAACCGCCCTGTCCTGTATTTTTTCAGAACAGAAGTGGCAACCTTCTAGGAAATGCATGTGGGGAGAAACCCGATGGCTAAGTTTTGCCTTCATCTGTCAGAGACAGAATAATAATTGCTGAAAACGGCAGGAGAGAGTGTGGGTGCTGCTTTGGGGCTTCCTATCTGGCTGGCCCCTCTGAGAACACGATGCTGGACTAGTAGATAAACATTTTTGCCCACTCCTGCAGGCGGTGCTGCTAATATCAGGGGTTGGTATTTTTAGGCACGTTCCAAGAACCCAGGTCCTGGCAGGGGACCCATGTCTAAAGCCCAGAGGCTCTGGTCTTCCGTAACTGCTGCAGCTTTTCTGAGGCAGCTGGTTTCCATCATCTAAACATCTTAAGTTGCCTCCTGAAAAATGAGAAGAGGGTCCTTTGCCAGTTATTGGAGCCTGAGCAGATGCCTGGCTTTGCCCGCTAACCCTGATGGATGTATTCTGCCTCAGTTGTTGGTATTCAGTAGCATGCTTGCCTCTCCCAGCTGCTGGGAACCTCAGATGGGGAGAGGTCTGGTGTCCTCAGCTTCCTTCTTGGGGTTTTCCCACAGGGCTTTTTTCAGCTGGAACTCACAGGAACTCAGTTCCTGCACCTCTCAGGTGAGCACCACTGCCATTCTAAGACAATGAGGGAGAGGTGCAGGGTGAGTTCTGGCACCACTTTTTCTAGAAAAACAGCACTGGGTTTCCCATAAGCTTCTGGTTGGACACTGTGAGAACAAGATTCTAGACTAGATGGGCCACTGGGCTGATGTAGCAGCCAAGCTCTTCTTAATGTTCACGCTGGAGTTGGAACCGTCGTAAGGGTGAAGCAGTCGATCGGGATTTGTTACTCAACCGCGCTGCATACCAAAGAAAGGGCAGTGAAGTATTGAGCAAAGGGGTGGGGAACCTTTGTCAATCGAAGAGCTGCATGCCAGTCAAGGGTGAGGCCAGAGGCTTGAGTGGGTGGAGCAACACGTTTAACTCCTTTATTGTTTACAGTCATACCTCATGTTGCGTCTGCTTCATACTGTGTCTTTTTGCATTATGTCCCATGGCAACCCGGAAATACCGGAATAGGTTACTTCCTGGTTCCGCCGCTTGTGCATGTGCAGAACCGCGCTATGTGCAGAAGCGCCAAAACGCACCTGTGCAGATGCAGCGCTTCGAATTGCGGGCATTTCACATTATGGATGGGCCTCTGGAATTGATTCCATCCTTAACACGAGGTACCACTGTATTAAATCTGTATACCTCCCCTGATCCAAAGATCCTGAGGCGGTTCACAAAATAAAAACGCAAAATACATAACAAAAACAAGACCAAACTAATAACCCCCTTTCCACAAACTTTTAAAAGGATATATAATGTTAAACAGTTAAAGGCCTGGCTGAAGAGAAACGTTTTCACTCGCCACCTAAATATATGTAGTGAAGGTGCCTAGCAGGCCTCCCTAGGGAGAGCATTCCATAAACGGGGAGCCACAGCAAAAACGGCCCTTGTGTTGCTGTCCTCCAGACCTCTCACAGGGTCTGGGTTGGTTCATATGGTCCTGAGCCGTGACTCTACCTGTGATCAGTGGGCGATACTCCAGCCAAGTGGAAGCCAGAGGTTTCTTTTTTTAAAATTTTTTTTAAAAAAATATTTTTTATTAACCGGCCAATCAAATCAAATTAAATCACATCACATAAATTCCGAATTACAAAGCCGAATTTTAAATTTTGTTGGGGGGACCCATATTTCAAGATCCGAAGGGGGATTCTGATCATCTTCTTGCTACTGCATTAATGTCCAAATCAGTCCAAACAAAGTTCATAATTCTATCCAGTCTTATCTTGCTGTTTCCACATCACATCTTGTTCATATATTTTGTCTTTTTTCTTTATGATCTCTTCTGATAGTCTCCTTAAGCCGATAAACACCAATAATAGTCCTGTGTGAATTTTTCCGTTCTTCCAATCCTCAAATCGAGATGGTTTCCATATATCATCGCCTTCATAGATAACATCGCTCCTTCCATCATTAATTACAGAACTGTTGCTCTTAAGTCCCTCTGAGGAGTTTCACCCACAACATAAGAACAGCTCTATTTCTCTATTTCTCCTCCCAGACTCAAGACCTCCGACAGAACTTCCCAATATGGCGACGGCATTTTTAACTGCGTCATTCCAAAGCTCTTATACATTCCACGCTCTTCTTAAAACATGCTTTGGTTCGAAAGTTTATCTCCACACAGCCTTAAATCCACAGCATAAGTCCTTAAAACGACATTTCTGACTTGTGGGGGGAGGGGATTCTTGTTTAATCACATAAGGAAAGAAAGGAAAGCTTTTTTCCCCCTCCCCCATCAGTCATTTGCCATACCAAGTCTTGGCGTATCTTCTCATAATCTATGCTTGTTCCTCCGACTCATCTTGTTTTATCAGAGATCTCTTCTGTTAGCAGTCTTTACTCCCCCTTCTTCCTTGAAATATGTGCATTCCTTTCTCCAAATTGTTTCTTTTGAAGTTCTTGCAGCTAGTGGCGCGGATCAGGGATGGCGTCCAGGAGCGCTGAAATCCCACAGGAGGGCTTTGTGCCTAGTGCCCCCATCCCCACAAATTCGGGGGTGGTATAGGGCACAGCAGGCAAGGGCAGTCCCCCCCACCATCCTGGGGGGGGGGTAGGAAGGCTGATTACTCCCATCATAGCCTCCAAATTACCTCGTGTGGGTCAGAGAGATGTTATTGTCAGCCATCTTCTGATGCGCCCCCTAGTGGCTCCCAGAAGCCAGAGGTTTCTTCGCATTCCCGCCAGGAAAGCAAGAAGCGTCAGCAGGGTCCAAGGATACATTTCTAGCCAGGCAAAAATGGGCCCAGAAAAGGCCGTGGCCTGGGCACTGTCCCAAGGACCAGATAGAGATTCCTGGAGGGCCACGTTTCACACCTGGCTTCTAGGGACACAGTATTCAACTTAATTCTACAAAGCATTAAAAGTCTAGTGTTGATAGTACCATTTGGGAATGCTGATAGAATAGCATTGGCTTCCACCTGCCTCATCAGGACAGAAGCAGGTTGTAATTCCACTGATCTTCCAGGAGGTGTCCTCATTATATCTTTTTACCACACCTAGCACTACAATACTTTAAGCAGCCATGGCCTCCCCCAAAGCACCCTGGGGGTTGTAGTTGGTTAAGGGTGTCATGGAATTCTACTCAGTATTGATCCAGAGTAGAATCCCAACGTACAGTTAGCAGAGTAAAAGCTTAAACATGTTGCAGGATTCCAAAAAATAGTCCAGATGCAATTAATATTTCATCCAGCAGAGCTTTACTGCTGCTGAAGGCAAATGAGCATATTGGTCACAAATCCAATACATTCAGTCAATAAGAAATCTAGTTGCAGCAGACCTAACTTACAATAACTTACAATAAGACTAAAACCTTAACGCTAAGCGTACTATGTACAGAACACCACACCAGGAGGAAAGAAAGACAGAAGGTGAAACCCAGGCTCCTCCAGGCCTATTTTTATAGTCAGCATCACCTTGACAGAAGAGATAAGAGAATCAATTTTAAGCCAGTTGTACTCAGCTTCTCTGAAGGAACAACCCGAACATCACGAACCTTTTGCTTGTTTCTTTCACACACAGAAGCTTCCAGAACGCTCTTGAATTAATTAGAATAGGAAAGATCTGTACACATCAGATTGATACCTTTTGCACTAAGAAATGCCAACTGACAGAGGGTGCTAGGAGTTTTTGGGAGATTGCTGCTTCCCCCACAGAGCTACAGTTCTCCAAAGTGGTTTTACAAAAATTTTCCAAGGTTGGAGGAAACTCCAGAGGGCTTTGGAACAGCCAGTGGTCACGACTGGAGAGAAACTAATTGTCTTCTTAAGAGCATAAGACCAGCCTGCTAAATCAGGCCTAAATTCCTGACTGTTGGCTTGACTGCTCCATCACCACCTGCGTTGCTCTTCTCCCCCACAGCTGTCCAGGCTGCCATCCTCTGCGGGGACAAGTCCGAAAACGTGCAGGACCTGCTGCTGCTGGACGTCACGCCTCTGTCCCTGGGAATCGAGACGGCCGGCGGGGTGATGACCGCCCTCATCAAGCGCAACACAACCATCCCCACCAAGCAGACCCAGACTTTCACCACATACTCGGACAACCAGCCTGGGGTGCTCATTCAGGTAAGGGGAGGTGACTGTGACCATGGCAAGGGAGCATTATGGGATGCTGTCTGAGCGTTGCATTTAGCAGGCCGAGCATTGCCAAAACAATGGCACAGACTCAGTTGAACGAAGCTACGGGCAGTTTTGTGTAGTTGCCCGAAGGATGTGCACCCTGAGTTTCTTGCATGGTGTGGTTGCGTTGGGAGAACCGAGATTTGCTTTCTAACCTCATGGTGTTCTCCTTCCTTCCTTCCTTCTCAACCCCCCCCCCTTCCCACAAATAGGTATACGAGGGAGAGCGTGCCATGACCAAAGACAATAATTTGCTGGGCAAGTTTGAGCTGACGGGCATCCCTCCTGCTCCTCGTGGCGTCCCCCAGATTGAAGTGACCTTCGACATAGATGCCAACGGCATCCTCAACGTCTCTGCCGTGGACAAGAGCACTGGCAAGGAGAATAAGATCACCATCACCAATGATAAGGGTGAGTACGCTGGCTGAAGGGGGGGGGCAGCTGTTGCTTCTCGCCCATCACAACACATCCTTGCGGTTGTTAATCTGGGCACCCAATCAACACGAGCACATATGCCCCAAACAGCCCAATGTGCCAACTCTACTTGGATTCCATTGAAGGTTTGATTCCCCCCCCAGTAGTAGCCCAGTGGAATAGGGAGTGAAGCTCTGCAAATGAATAAACCAAGCGATGTCGTTATTATTTTCAAAATTTCTTTGTCCGAGGGTCACAGCGCAGCTTACCATATCAAAGCACAAAAATGCGTAGCATAGTAACACACACACAAAATTTAGAAGGCCACAGAGGGTTTCATTAGCCAAAGGGCTGGGAGAAGAGGGAATGTTTTTGCCTGGCGCCTAAATACATGTGGGAACTAGGAAGTATGGGGGAAGACAGAATGAAGTGCTGCTTGAATGCAGCCAGATTGGTTTCAGCTATGATCTGGGGGGTTAAATGTGTTCATCCGCACTTCTCTTTTCCCCAAGATTTCTAGTCACGGGTCTGAGAGGTTCTTTTTGTGTCTTTCTTTCGTCCTGCCGCTTTCCCTGGGAAACCCCCCAGTTTACTGCTGATTTGGAACAAATGTCCACCAGGTTTTCTGCAGATTAAAGAAAAATAACCAACTCAAACCCAGGACTAGAAATCAGGGGAGAATTTATAAAAGAATGGAAACTGTTTATTCAATATTTACAGATAAATTGCAAACAGGTAGAAACATTGGCAGGATTATTGTAACAACCTGCAGTTTCATAAGTGTATATATTTAAAGGCGATAATTAGAGGAGCAAATTAAATGAATTTGGATATGCAGATGTTAAGAAATAAATTTAAGGAACTGCAGAAAGAGGGGGAAGGAAGTCAAACTCTGAAATGTTAAATTGATTGTAAAACTAATGAAATGTCTTAACTTGAAAAGTATAAATAAAAACTTTTAAAAAGAAATCATGGGAGAATCAGAGGTGTGGATGACCCCTAAGTTTTGTTCCCTATTCCGCTGGGGGAAATCAATCCTTGATTGGGATCTAGTGAATGTTAGTGTAATGGCTGGATTTTGGCATACAGTACAATGATGTGTCTCTTGTCATCCAGTCACCATCAGTGTATTTGGAGCAGGCATGGGGGCATCTGTGGCCAGATTGCTCTGTCCCAGCTCCTACCATCCTTGAGCATTGGCCATGCTGACTGGGGAGGACAACATGTAGATAACCTGCAGGCAGCCCCCCCCAACCTGGCTTAGTAGTTTGCCCCTGACCTGTGTGGCTTCTCTCTCATGCCGCAGGCCGCCTAAGCAAGGAGGAGATTGAGCGCATGGTCCAGGAGGCAGAGCAGTACAAGGCTGAGGACGAGATCCAGAGGGAGAAGATCACGGCCAAGAACTCCCTGGAGTCCCTGGCCTTCAACATGAAGAGCACAGCGGAAGATGAGAAGCTCAAGGACAAGCTGTCCCCAGAGGACAAGCAGAAGATCCTGGACAAGTGCAACGAGGTCATTTCCTGGCTGGACAGGAACCAGGTGAGTTTACAAAGGGAAGCGGGTGTGAGCTGCAGCGGTACTTGTCTCAGAATTTATTTCCTGTTTGGAAAAGAAGCCACAATGAAGCAGGAGGGGGAAGTTAAGGTAAATGGGACTGCATGAGGGACATACTGCAAGCAGTCGAGGAGGCTTGGCTCTTATTTCTACTATGTATTTTGCGGTTTTAATATCGCAGTTTTACATTGTGAACCGCACTGAGATCTGCGGGTGAAGGGCGGTATACACATGTAATAAATAATAATCAAAATGAAGGGACGTGGGTGGCACTGTGGGTTAAACCACAGAGCCTAGGACTTGCTGATCAGAAGGTCGGCGGTTCGAATCCCTGTGATGGGTTGAGCTCCCGTTGCTCGGTCCCTGCTCCTGCCAACCTAGCAGTTCGAAAGCACGTCAAAGTGCAAGTAGATAAATAGGTACCACTCCGGCGGGAAGGTAAACAGCGTTTCCGTGCGCTGCTCTGGTCTGCCAGAAGCGGCTGTCATGCTGGCCACATGGCTGTATGCCGGCTTCCTTGGCCAAAAAAAAGCGAGATGAGCGCCGCAACCCCAGAGTTGTCTGCGACTGGACCTAATAGTCAGGGGTCCCTTTACCTTTAATCAAAATGATAATGTGAGGTTGAGGAACCTGCAGCACTTTGTATGTTGTGGGAGGCTTTTTTTAGCAGAGGTTGGATGTTTATCTGTCGTGAATGCTGTAGTTGAGAGATTCCTGCATTGCAGGGGGTTGGGCTAAATGGACCTTGGGGTTCCTTCTAAGTCTGTGACACTATGCTTCTATGACTCCAGCTCCCATTAGATGCCCTTGCCAGATGGGTAACAGTAAGAGGTAATGGGAGCAACTTCTGCAGGGCCACAGTGCTCCCCCATGCCTGCAGTAAAGCAATGTGTGATGGCAGAGAAGGAGGTGTTTTTTTTTTTTTTACAGGATTTCAGATCTCCAGTGATAAACAACCTTAGTTGCCTTGGTATAGCACAGCAAACTACAGGCGAGCGAGGCTTTGTTTACTGCTATAGATGCAACATGGCTTCTCTGCAGGTTTTCCTGGGAATTGTAACTTAGGGCTTTTGTTTTCTCTTGTTCCACGGCTCCCCCACAGGGGGAAAGCGCTGTTGAGCGCTCAATCAGAGCAAATGCAATTCGGGTTTCCCCCGGATTTCTGTTTGTTCTGATCTATTGCTGATCTTCCCTTGGAAAAGGAGCAGGGCCAGTGGAAGAATTTCTCAGACCCATGCTTTCTAGGCACAGCACAAGTGGAAGTGTGACGTGTCGGTTCCACTTCTGTTGGAACCTTATTGCGGCATTTTGAGTTCGCCTTTGAATCGTGGGTTGTTGTTGTGTTGTTCAGCTGTGTTCCACTAGAGGGCAGCCAAAGCATCCGAGTGATGGAGCATAAGTTTGGCGTAATATAGATCTTCTCCTTTGCAGATTGGCTGAAAAGCCAAATCTAACTTTCCTGAAACATGGTTTCCTGGGGAGAGTGCTAGCTGCTAAGGAAGGGCAGAGAAATCAGTGTCTCTTCCTACAGGAGCAAAACGCCAAAGCGTAGACCCTTTTGATCTGTCTTCAAGGCTGGAACCGGCTGAGGGTTTTCTCGTGTGTATACACACAATTTTTGTTAAATTTTCTAAATTACATTTCAAAATACTCATTTAAACAACCTTAAATCAATGACTTCTCTTCTTCTCTTTCGGTGGTTCATTTCTCATGCCATACATCCCTGCATATTTTACATGAACTAAACCATTCAATAATCCATTGAATAATAAGGCTGGCATGCATGCCTTTGGGTATGGGAAGGCAAAAATCTATAAAGGCTTTATGAACCATATTCTAAGGAAGCATTTGTATAGAGTTTGGAAGAAATATAAAAATTTGCTGGAAAGGAAAACACCTCCGTGGCCCTCTCCCATTGAGGCTATTGCAATAGAGAGAGTTAATATGGATAGACAATGGGCAGCTTACAGGGAATTGCTACACTTTACAGAAGGGGGGTGGGCTTAATTGAAATCAATAGAAAATGTAAGGAGCCATGTTATAGACCGGTTACAATATCATCAATTATATGAAATGTTTAGAACAGACAGGAAAAATGGTTTTCCCCGGACCAAAGCTCGCGATTTGAAAAAGGACTTTTACAAAACAAAAGAAAAACTTACTATCTAAAATGTACAATCTATTGTTAGAATGGGAAATGAAAGATGAGCTTGTTAAAGTTCAGAATATCCTTAATGTTATCGCACCTCTTCTTTCCTTGTCTCACCCAGATGGCGGAAAAGGATGAATATGAGCACCAGCAGAAGGAGCTGCAGAACGTCTGCAACCCCATCATTACCAAGCTGTACCAAGGGGCAGGGGGCATGCCCGGGGGCATGCCGGGTGGGATGCCCGGGGGCTTCCCAGGAGCTGGAGGAGCTGGCGGCGGCTCTTCAGGCCCCACCATCGAAGAGGTGGATTAAGAGCCTTCTTCCTCTTCCTCTGCTCTGCATGGTAATAGGGAGAAATGCAAGCTGGCCTGGATTCTGCTTCACTTTGCCAACTTCTGCCCATGAGCCTCTGCACTTAAATGGAGTTTGCTTGCTCTGTTCTCTCCCCACCACTCCTCCCCATCTGTTTTCTGTAATGGAGTGGGGCATGTCTCCTTACTTACTGCCAAATCCGAGACTTCAGAGATGGTGTTCACATGAATAAATTATTGCACTTTCATCACCCTGCCGCTTTGGTGCCCATGTGTTTTGTATATTTGTGTTTTGTTGTGTACAAATTCACAAGGTTCTAGTCCACAATATGTTGCCTGTTAAGATAGTTGACATGCTGGTGTTGTTGGGTGACCTCCTTTTTTTGCCCAAGAACTACAAGTGCAAAACCACGGGGCTTTGTTGGAATCCAAGCATCTGCTGATCAATGCTTGCAAATCCCATATGGGCCAAGCCAGACTTACCTGGCATCAGGTGTATGGCACAGGGGCATGGCTTGGGGGCAAAGCAGCCTTGCAGGCCCAACAGCTGGTTCAGGGGCCCCATGTGGTTAATAGTTGCAGCCCCTGTGGTCAGAGACCATATAACCCATGATGCAGCGCGCACAGGTGTGCATGCCTGGCAGCAGCGGCATGCATCCATACTGCTTTTGTTCCTGTCTTTTAATAAGAAAAGCTGGCTTAGGAAGGCACTGGGCTGATGGCCCAGCTAGTAACCCTTGATAGCTTTCTCCATAAATTTATCCTGCCCTCTTTTAAAGCCATTTGAGTTTGTGGTCACCATTGCCTCTTTTGGGAGCGTGTTCCATAATTTATGTACTGCATGAAAAAGTTAATTTACCTTCCTTGGATGTCCACGTGTTCTAGTATTAATGCGAGAGGGAGAAAATCTCTTCCCTCCTGGAAGATCTGGGTCAGCCAATACGGTGGGAATTCCACTGAGCCACTTTTGCCTGCAACAAAAAAAGGTGGGGCCATGTAACTTCCTTGACCTGTGCATGCGATCCCCTCTCATCCTAATAGCTATGTTTAAAGCCAGTATCTGGCACACCCCAAATGCAGGCCTTTTTCTGTCGCTAAAACAAAAGAATCTGTTTTGCCCTTTAGTTAACCTTTTGCCCTACCTGTTTGCCATAAGGGCTGTGCCTCAATTGAGGACTTAAGATCATGCAGAAAGGGAGCAACTCCCCCCCCCCCCGGAAGAACAAATCTTACGAGAAGCAGCATTTGGTGATCACATTGGCTCTGGAATTCACATCATGGGTAGTTAAAATGATTGCACCATTGTGCGGACCTCTCAACAAAGCTGAATGATGGGACCATAAGTCCCATCTAGCTATGACACTGACAGATCTATGGGAGTCTCCCAATCCATCCTACAGATAACAGCAACTGAACCTGGGGGGCTTTACATGGAAGCCCTGCCTGTAAAAAGGTAAAGGACCCCTGGGCGGTTAAGTCCAGTCGGAGGCGGCTATGGGGTTGTGGCGCTCATCTCACTTTCAGGCCGAGGGAGCTGGCATTTGTCCACAGACAGCTTTCTGGGTCATGTGGCCAGCATGACTAAACCACTTCTGGTGCAACGGGACACTGACGAGTGCCAGAGGGCATGGAAATGGGTACCTGTCGCAGCTTTACCTATTTATCTGCTTGCACTGGTATGCTTTTGAACTGCTAGGTTGGCAGGAGCTAGGATAGAGCAACGGGAGCTCACCCTGTCGCGGGGATTCAAAGCGCCGACCTGATTGGCAAGCCCAAGAGGTTCAGTAGTTTAGACCACAGCGCCACCCACACCCCTATAGCCCTGTCCTGTGCTACTGAGATTGCAAGGTAATGGGTTAAGAGTTGCAGTTAGACAGTTGTGCTTATGCCATCTGGATGTCTCCGAACAATCTGTCATGGACTGGTTGGGCACAGAGGAGCGGTGGCAGGAGCCAACTGGGGAATCCCCGAGGGAAGATGGCCCGGAACCTGGGGATTGGTGGTGGGACAGCTATGTAAGAGGGAGAAGACTGGAAAGAGGAGGTGTTGTCAGAAGCTGAAGCGGTAACAGTGCTGGGGTGGGGTGGGGGGAGTCTGGAAGAGTAAGTCCAAAAGCTGAAGCAGAGGGCAGAAATGAGTCTGGCTGCCGAAGAGTCATGGGTGTCTCCCCCTCCTGCGACAGGCTCCCCTCCCTGCTTGTCTCCCACAACCAGAAGAGGCATGAAGAGGGTGGGGGAGAGGTTGGCTTCATGCAAAGCACAGTCTCGGATTGCATGGGAGAAACTGGAGAGGCTGGTACTTTCAGTCTCGGCAACTGATCCACAGGGGAAAAACTTAAGAGGGATGAGCTGCTGTGCTCATTCGGCCTGATACTCTGCCAAGGCGGTACAGTTTGTGTTCTTGATAATAAAGAGTTAACTCCAACAGTGATTTACTGCTGGCTCCTTCCTGTCACTCAGATCAGAATCTCGTTGCAGCTGTCAAATATTTGCACTACCTTTGGAGCATCATTGTCACTGCTGCAAGCCTGCTCTTGCATCTCTGACTCATGGGGTGAGACGAGAGGCTCGTGTAGGAAGCCTCCGCAAACATCGGACGTCATATTTGTACATTCCCAACATACTATGGGAGCCCACTGGGTGATAATTAGTAAATCTACTTCCTGCCCTTCCTTCCTTGCCTAGCATGGCAAACAACAGATAAAACAATGCAAATATTTTTAAAAGCCATTCCGGTGCAGCAGCTAACTGAAATGCCTGTTGGAAGTGGAAGGCCTTCCGTAGGTACCAGAAAGAACAGAGATCATGCCTTTCTAATACTTGGGGTTGGGGGAACCCAGAGGGTAAGAGTCACTATGACTGAAGGCCCAGTTCCTTTATTGTGCAGAATGAAACTCCTGATAGGAGGAGGTCCTCTGCAGGAGGTCCTCAACTGCAGAGGGCAGAGACAACTGGGTCTTCTTTCTTTGATGATCACTCATAGCTGAGTAAGATTGTCTTCCGTAAACACAGTTTTAACAGTGAGTCCATAAGTGACTGTGGAGGCCAATTCTGGATCCACACGGTCCTTCCACGGTGGGGACATAGGTTTGCGGGTGGGAGTTGATCATGGTGGGGGTTTGCCAAACGTGTCTTCCTCTTACCATGTTTCTCCCTTTCGTCCTGAATTTGAGTGTCTTCAAAGCCCGTGACACCTTTGGTAAAGGCTGCTCTTCAATTGGGGCGCTTGCCAGCCTGTTTCCCATTTGTCGGGTATTTATACTACAATTATTATTTTTTAGATTTGCCTTGAGAGCATCTTTAAACCTCTTTTGTTGACCACCAGCATTACGCTTTCCATTTTTAAGTTCAGAATAGAGTAGTTGCTTTGGAAGACGATCATCAGGCATCCTCACAACATGACCGTATTAAAGAGGTGAGACAATCTTTCAGGAACATAGTCCTGTAGGCCAAGGATGGAAGACCTGTGACCCTGTCTTAATTCCTGACCATTGATGTTTCTTGACCGTTGATGTAGCCTAACCTGGTTTCTTTACCCAACACATTTGCTGACACAAGGTGTGCTGATGACTTTAAGGAGGTGACACACTCCTTAAGGTGGATAGGCCTGCTAATGGCTGTTTGCCACAAACAGACCTCCATGGAGCCTCCACAGACAATATACCACTGAATGACAGTGGTTTCCTAGAGCAGCTGTGGGAGAGAGCGGTTGCCTTTGTAGCCTGCTCATGAGCTTCCTGGAAGCATTTAATAGGTCATTGTGGGAAGCAGGACTTGATGAATAAGTGTTATAGCTCAGAGGGGGAAGCCATGGCTGTTTAAAGAGGTATAATACTGCTATAAATGGATAGTGCGGATGTGGTCCAACACCCAGGGGCTCCTGCAGGTCGTATTTTTTGCAAAGATGACCTGGCTGCTTTGTTGTTTTTCCAGTCTGCTGGCAACCCTAACAAAGGGAACCAAGGCTAAGAGACGTGGTTCGCTCCAGGCTACTGCAGCAATGAGGTGGACAAGCTAAATCACAAAATGAGGCTTCATGCGTCAAGGCCTGACCTGCTTCTCTAGCAAAGTTCAAAGTTCTTTAATTGTGCTATTGAGGACCAGCGTTTGCTGGAGAGAAACAGTGGCAGAGCATCTGTTCTGCATGCAGAAGGTCTCAGCTTCAACCCCCACCATCTCCAGGTGGGGTTTTAGAGACTCCTGTTTGAAAATGGTCCCAGGGTTCTCCTGCATGCTCTAGTGCAGCTTCCTATCCCCTCCTTCTTGATGCACCAGGACTGAGTAGATATGGGGTTTTGGTAGGTGTAGCTTGTCAACAGTTGGGATTTCACCATTCCCAGCCATGCCTGCAACTTTGAATTCAGCCTTTGCAATCTTAACGGTTTGAAATGCACGAGTTCCTCCTTTCGTAATGCTGAACAATCAGGGACATGCGGTTCTGAGTCCGCTACAGGTTTTCTGCACTCGCATGGAGAAATCCACACACTTGCCTAATATTGTTTGCGTGTGGGCTCTGCAAAGGTGATGCCGATTTTGATTTTGCTGGAGGATCAAGGAAGGGGGAGGGAATTAACAGGAGAGAAAGGAACAGGTGGGGGGTCTGGAGAGGTGAGTGAAAGTTCCCAGGCTGGGGCAAGAGTTTGCTTTAACCGCAACGTGTGCTGGTATGGGGAAATGGCAGAACAAGTATTGCAAAACCTGCTGCAATGTTCTGTCTTGCTTTGTAAACAGCACTTTGAAGAATCCTGCAGGGTTATCACTGAGCTCTCCTGAAGCATGGTTGGCATCTGTGACCTGCCCTTAAATGTGGAGTGATGAATTTCAGGCTCAGTTGTTGAAATACAACTCTCTATAAAACTCTCTCTACATCCATGCCCACCAAAGTTGGCCGAGACTCCTTTAGACTCAGTGGTCATTTGACCGCTTGCATCACCTGCCATCCTTGCCCATCCATGTGCACCAAAAAGGATGCTTCAATTTCCTCCTTGTGAGAAGAATAAGAAGAGTTTGGATTTGATATCCCACTTTATCACTACCCTAAGGAGTCTCAAAGCGGCTAACATTTTCCTTTTCCTTCCTCCCCCACAACAAACACTGTGAAGTGAGTGGGGCTGAGAGACTTCAAAGAAGTGTGACTAGTCCAAGGTCACCCAGCAGCTGCATGTGGAGGAGCGGAGACGCGAACCCAGTTCACCAGATTATGAGTCTACTGCTCTTAACCACTACACCACACTGGCTCTTGAGAATCCACAAGAACTT